CCTGCCGAACAGGTTTAACATTCTCTTCTAGTCTAATCCGGTACATACAGATTGCCGGGCTGATCCCCTTAATGTCTGCGATTGTCCAACCTATCGCCTCTTTATGCTCTCTAAGGATTCGGATCAGTTTCTCCTCCTGGATTTTTGATAGTGCCGATGAGATAATCACTGAGAGTGTCTCATTGTCACCCAAATATGCATACTTCAGGTGCTCTGGTAAGGGTTTCAACTCCAAAACAGGCGCCTGCACCACCGATGGCAATACCGTCTGGTAAGGTTCGGGAATGAATATAGGTGAAACTTCGTACCTTTTTGTGGAGGTTGGCAATGAGTCCAGTGCTCCTATCGTACATTTTAAATCTTCACTCCACTCCACCTCAGGAGTTGTCTCCAACTTGAGGTGCTTGGTCAAAGCCACCTCCAACTCATCCCTGCCAACAGTTTCAAACACTTCCTACACCGCAGGGTCAATAGCACTCACAGAGAAAACAGAGCTAAAGTTGGAGTTTGAGGGATATTTCATAGTATCAAAGATATTAAAGTGCACAATTTCCCCATCAAACTCCATGGATAAGGTATCCTTATTAACATCAATTTTTGTTTGTACTGTACTCATAAAGGGTCTATCTAATAACAAAGGTGAGGGATCGGGGGAGTAGGAGTGGGCAAAAAAATCTGAAAATCCGAAAAATCGATCGACTCGCTCCGACCCGCCCCGAAAATTAGGTTATCTGACCCTATTTTTATCAGCGGAGCAGATAGGGTCGGGTACCCGTAAAATTCGGATACGGATACAGACCACAAAATCTAAAACCCGCGGGTACCCGACCCGGGGGTATATTTTACAAATATTAAAAAATATAGGGGCAAATTTATAATATTTTAAAGTTATTAACCCTAAGTTCCTAACATATCTCAGTCGACACTCCAGCCTTCAGTCTTCACTTCAGCGCCGCCGCAACTTCTTCACCTTCAATCTTCAGACTTCACTCTTCAATCCTAGTTCCAAACACTCTTCAGCTTTCAGGCTTTTGGACCTTCAATTTCTCAAGTCCTAAACACTCAAGTTGGACAAGTGCAACGCCAACGCCGATCTTCACATAAAGGTAATTTCTCAGTCCCAAATTAGTTTTTTTGTGTCGATGATTTGATGAACCCAGATGATAAAATGTTTTCTTTTACCGGTCCTTCCAACTTGGTAAAAGTTTTCTAAAGTGAATTTGGGAAGTGTTAACATGATTGCACCTACATTTGTCACAGAAAAGCTTCATATCATCACTATTACATAATTTACATTCACTAATAAAAGGAAACTAGTGTTAAAGAGCTACCAAAAAACAGACACTGGAAATGCAAAACAAAAATTAAGACTCAGATACTTAAAAGTGAAAATGTTGCTTGATTCTCATGCTTTGAATTTCACGATTGCCCTTTCTGCAACTCATGCGATGGCTCTGAGGAAGTGATCTGGAGCTGTTAACTCATGTTTTGATAGGTTTCTGATTTTGGCAACGATGTGGAGTTGAAATTTTTCTTGAGGAATGTGTGGATATTGATTAGGAACAACTTTTATTTTGAATAAATTTGTTTGGTTAAAAGCTAAAGCAGCCGATGGACATCTAATATATGTATCAGTGCCTCCTCTGTATTTGATTGGGAGCGAAAAGAAAGGATCCCTGCACTCAAATAGGGAGTAAATTACTGCCTTCAAAATGCCATTCTTTATGGAGTAGTGATATCATTTTTACTTGATTCTCTACTGTCATGCTTTCTTAATTCTTTAGAACTAGCACAAGAAAATATGTTCTTCCTATTCTCTTTCATTGATTTTATTCCTCTTCTCTTTTTTTTTTTAAAAATAATTAACTGGCATTATTAGTATGATGATGAGTACTATTATTATACGTTGAAGGTATGCGTCCAGTTCCATTTGCCATTTGGTATGCCGGGAATCAATTGGTAGTTGTGTCCTTGTGGAAAAAAAAATAAAAATAAAATAATGGAGGGAAAAGGATATTCAGCTCAATTCATGTTTTAGTTTTTGTACATTTAAGAATCAACCTAGTGCCGAATTGGAATTGGTTTTTGCGTTGAATGGCTACAATTTAATGGAGCATCAGTGCTGATATGCACTAAACAAATGTAGGAGTATTATTATTATGCATAGCTCTGCAACTCACTAGAAAATCTTTTTAGTTGGGATTTGATTGGGGATTGCTTTTAATTTGCTTTGAAAAAATGGGCTTGCAATTTTAGTTCAAGAATCAGGGGTGGATGCATGGCATTGACCAATCTTGCTTTAGCTTCTCAAGCCATTATTTGAGACTTTGACTTCTGCTTGCTTTGCTTGAATTTTTCAGATGTCAAGTACAGGGGATAATACAGCTACAACAGCTACAAGCCCAAGTGTTGATCATTCATCATCAGATCCAAAAATTGTTGCTAAAGCCTCTGAAACTGATACATGTCAAGTACCACCTCTTCCAACATCCGAGACAAAAGTGTCTAGCAAGAGTAATAGGTCTTGGGTTTGGGAGCATTACGTAGTTGTTACAGGTACGGAAACAAAAGACAAGAAAGCTACTTGTAAATATTGTGAACAACTGATTGCTTGTGCAAGCAAAAATGGTACTACTTCTTTGAGTAATCACCGTCATAGGTGTAAAAAATATCCGTATAATAGCACGGATAAGAGGCAAAAGACGCTGGAGTTTAAACCAAAAGAGGGAGGGGGAAAAGCATTAACAACCCATATGTTTGATCAAGAAGCATGTAGGAGAATGTTGGCTAGGATGGTGATTATAGATGAACTGCCTTTTAAATTTGTGGAAAGGGAGGGATTTCTGGATTTTTGTCTAGTTATGCAGCCACGGTTTGAAATGCCATCACGTAGAACTATAACTACAGACTGCCATAAGCTTTTTTTAGATGAGAAGAAAAGTTTGAAAGCATACTTTGAAACTTTATCCTCCCGCATTTGTCTCACCACTGATGCTTGGACATCCATTCAAAATCTTAATTATTTGTGTTTGACAGCTCACTTCATTGATGATAAATGGAAATTGCACAAAAAGATTTTAAGTTTCTGTCCTATTACAAGTCATGCGGGTGAAGTTATTGGTCGGACAGTAGAAAAATGCTTGCTTGATTGGAAAATTAGTAAAGTTTTGACTGTTACGGTAGACAATGCTAGCTCAAATGACACTTGTTTGCAATATTTGAGAAGAAGGCTTATTAATTGGAAATGTATTGTCTTAAATGGAGAATACTTGCATATGAGATGTGCTGCCCATGTTTTGAATTTGACGGTTAGGGAGGGATTGAAAGACTTGGAAGACTCTATTGTTAGGATTCGATCAGCTGTGAGATATGTTAGGTCTTCACCTGCTAGAGCTCAAAGATTCAAATCTTGCATAGAAAAAGAAAGAATCGAAAGTAAAAACCTTGTATGCCTTGATGTTGAAACTAGGTGGAATTCCACATTTTTAATGTTAGAGGCTGCTCTAAAATTTTAAAAGGCATTTGAGTTGCTAGAAACTGTGGATAGCAAATATGTCGAAGAGTTGACTCCCCAAAGTGAGAATGATACTCGTAAGAGTTCTAAGATGAGGGGTGTGCCAACTGAGATGGATTGGGAGTATGCAAAAGATTTGTTGCCTTTTCTTCAAATTTTTTATGATTCTACTGTGAAAATGTCGGGCTCACGTTATGTGACAGGAAATGTATATATGAATGAAATTTTTGGCATTGGTGGTCTTCTTAATTCATTTCAAGAAAGTGATGACTTTGGTTTGTCAACTATGGCTGGAAATATGAAGAAAAAATATGACAAATATTGGGGTAATGTTGAAAGGATTAACATATTGATTCTGATTGCTGTTGTTCTTGATCCCCGGCATAAACTAAGTTATGTTCAATGGGCTATTGATGAGGCATATGATCCTAAGAATGCTGAAATTTTAAAAGTTAAGGTGGAAAAGGTGTTACATTCTCTATTTGACTTTTATTCTGCTGAAAAATCACCTTATAGGAAAGTGATAAGTCAAAATCAGTTTAGGGAAATGGATAAAATGGATGTTGATACAATTACAGTTAAAGGGGCATCAGATTACATGCATGCAAAGTATTCTCAAAAAGCTGATACATTGGATAGCACTCACAATAAAACGGAATTGGACATCTATTTGATGGAAATGAAGGAAGATTTTCACTGTCCAAACTTTCATATATTGGATTGGTGGAAAAATAATGCTCATAGGTTCCAAGTTCTTGCTGCAATTGCTAGAGATGTATTAGCTATTCCAGTGTCTACTGTTGCCTCGGAGTCTGCTTTTAGTACGGGAGGCCGTGTGTTGGATTCTTTCTGAAGCTCTTTAACTCCAAGAATGGTGGAGGCTATAATTTGTGGACAAGATTGGCTTCGCAAGGGTATTCAACCAATTGATTTGGAAGAAAGTATAACTGAGCTTGAGGAAATGGAATCGGGTAATACTATTCATATCTTGTTATCATTGCATTCAAAATTTTCTTATTCATTTGAGCTTCAACTTGTGCTAATATGTTTCTTGGTTGTTTTTATTTTTTGAAATTTTTTTTTTAGGTTTGACAGAGGAGCATTCTATTATTAATATTGAAGATTGATGATTCTTGAAGATTGTACTCCTTAATGTGTTGTAGAAGGTTAAGGTGATTGTAGCTGGAATTGGGAAATTTTGTTGTATTTCTAACTTTATGGCTTGGTGTGGAACTAAATAATTTGAATACTGCTATTGTCTTTGTCTCTGTCTTGGGCTGGACGTACGGCAGGTTCATCTTCTAAGATGAAATTGCAAATTTGTTTGTTTTTGCTATTGTCTTTGTCTTTGCATTCATACAGGAATTTGCATTCTTTAATAGGGGCGGGTACCCTATGACCCGCCCCTATTTTTCGGGTATCCGAAGATCGGGTACCCGAGGGCAAGCGGAGCGGATTAGGGTCAAAAAAGTAATGACCCGACATGTTAGGGTCGGGTCAGCCATTTGACGTTCGGGGCGGGTACCCGACCCGTGCCCACCCCTACGGGGGAGTGATCATCATCCATATCAAGTACATAAAAATCAGATGGAAACACCAAATCATTAACTTTCACCAACACATCTTCAACCAACCCATCAGGGTATGCATTGGTTCGATCAGCTAATTGAATAATTTTCTCAGTTTCTTTTAATGGATCTAGCTTTAGAGAAGCATATATAGATTTAGGCATGACATTAATTGATGCTCCCAGATCCAACATGGCCCTTCTAATCACAGTGTTACCTATCCTACAAGGGATAGTAAACATACCTGGGTCCCCGCACTTGGGTGGAAGCTTTCTCTGCAGGACTGCTGACACATTCTCCCCAACAATGACTCTCTCATCTCCCCTCAACCTCTTTCGGTTGACACACAAGTCCCTTAGAAATTTGGCATATTTTGGTACTTGTTTGATCGCGTCTAACATGGGGATATTTATCTCAACCTTGCGAAAAACCTCCAAAATCTCCTTCTCCTTATCCTGTTTCTTTGATTTTTCCAACCTGTTAGGAAAAGGAGGCGGGTTAGTTTTAACTGTAATTATTGGGTCTGAAAGTACCTTTGGGTCTGCACCATTGCTGTCCTCCCTCTCAAACTCATTTTCGATCTTTTCCTCATCCTTATCCTTAGGGATCACAGGTTCAGACCCCTGAATTTCCTTCCCGCTCCTTAGGGTCATTGCGCTCACGTTCTTCGGATTTAGTTCAGGCTGAGACGGCAATTTACCTTGGTTCTGGAAATCCAAACGGTTGATTGTTGTGGCCATTTGACTTATCTGATTCCTTATGTCCTGCATTTCGGAGTCCGTCCTTTGCTGATTTTACATAATGGTTGCCTCCGTCCTTTGCTGATTTTGCGTAATGGTTGCCATCATTTGTTTCATCATCTCCTCCAAAGATGGACCAGAGCTTGGGGGCGGAGGTGGTCGGGGTTGGTACTGCTGCTGGTACCCTGGTTGCTTATTTGGCACGAAATTAGACTGCCTGTTCGGTGCAAAGTTGGGCTGCCTATTTCCTCCGTAACTGAGGTTGGGATGATCTCTCCACCCGAGATTGTAGGTACTTGAGTAAGGGTCGTACTGCTTTCTTGGCGCGGGCGCGTGGCCAGTCATGTTCACCTGTTCTGCAGTTTCTTCCTGAGGCATTGGGCACATGTCTGCAGAGTGACCCATACCAGTGCAAATCCCGCACACCCTGGCTTGAGATGCATTCCCTACAGCCAGTTGCCTAACAAACGAGGTCAACTCAGTTAGCTGCTGCTGCATAGAGGATGTCTCTACCTCATTTACCTTACGTATTGGGACGTCCTCTCTCGAATTGAATTGTTGTGAATTCTCTGCCATCCCCTCTATTAACTCCCGTGCTTCCTGAGAGGTTTTGTTCACCAGTGCCCCTCCACTTGCAGCATCAATTATGCTCCTGTCTCTGAAAAGGAGCCCCTCATAAAAATACTGCATGAGCAACTGCTCACTTATTTGGTGTTGGGGGCACATTCTGCACAACTTCTTGAACCATTCCCAATACTCATAGAGTGACTCTCCTGGGTGCTGCTTGATCTCGCAAATTTCTTTTCTCAGACTTGCAGCCCTGGACGCAGAAAAATATTTATCTAAAAATTTTTTTTTCAACTGGTTCCATGTGGTGATGCTACATGGTGGTAGGTAGTATAACCAGTCCTTTGCAGAATCCTTCAAGGAAAAGGGGAATGCCCTCATTTTTATCTGCTCTTCTGTAATGCCCGGGGGTTTCATACTATTGCACACGACATCAAACTCCTGCAGATGCTTATACGGTTCTTCACCTGGTAAAGCATGAAAAGAGGGTAAAAGATGAATCAGACCAGATTTTAACTCAAATGGAGTGTTATCATTTAAAGTGGGGAAAGTAATGCATAGAGGCTGCTGATTTAAATCAGGAGCAGCCAACTCCCTTAATGTTCGTGCATTAGCCATGGGGATTTCTTCTTGCTCCGAGTCACTCGAAATGTCACCAAATGAATCTGTTGGTTCAACTTCTGACTCAGGTCTCTGAGATGTAGCACTAGAGTGCTCCTCTCTGAGCTGTCTGGTCTCTTTTCTTGTCCTACGCGCAGTCTTCTCTAGTTCAGGGTCAAAAATCAAACCACCTGTACGAGAAGACCGAGGCATACACTAGAAAAATATCAAAAAATTAGAACAAAAATGAATTTAAAAAGAAACAACTAATAACGCCACTTATATTTGGGGTACTATTTCTGGAATAGATCTCTAGAGTGAATTGGACACAGGCTTTGGGTTCTATATTGAACTTTGGTTTTCGGGTCCCTGCTAAATTATTTTACTGAATTCTTGATGCCCTATGACTGTTGATTTAAGTTGCTAAATTATTCGGGCATCTGCTGAATTGTAGTTGGCAGAGTTGTGCATTTATTTGTTCAGTCCAGCAACTATAATACTTAGTGCATTGATTGCTGATTCATGGCCGTAGTTACTATCCCAATTCATTCATTTGGGACTTCTTTTAGCCCTTGAGATTGATATTTTCTAGACCCTCTGATAGCTATTTTATTTGGAAGTTATCGGGGTTGACTTTGGGGGTTTGCTGCTTTTGTTGGGCGTTTGTTGCGATTTTGGGTTGGGCATTTAGTTGCTGTTTCTGTGCACCGTCGGTTGCGATTTCTAAGAGGTTCTTGTGGCTGAGTTAATTTTGCTCTGATTCCATTTTGTTGTGCACCATTGACTATTGGGCTTTTGTGCTTAAAGTGTTGCTCCTGCTAGATCTCCGAACTGTTGCTGGAGTTACCATTTTCTTGGGTCAATTGCTGATTTTGGCAGGTTGAATTGGGGAATTGACTGTCCAATTGGAGGCAGCTGTTACCATTTTGGGACCAATTGTGTCTATTTTGCTGTGATATGTGTCTAATTGTGGGTAATTTGCTTGTTAAATTGGGAGGTGCCTATAACGCTTAAATTTGCTTATTGAAGTTAGTTGCCTCTAATTGCCTTGTTTAGGAGCATTTTATCCTTTTGGTTTCCTTTACTAAGCTATTTGGAGCACTTGTTGCATGATTGGACTGCCTTGATTCTGAATTTGACTACATTTGGACCACAGGGGGTCATTGATTGCATTTGTTATTAGTGTTGAGGTATTCGTATAACCTGTGGGTGATTGAATTGTGCCTATTGTTCATTGGGTTGGTTTTAAACAAAAAATTGTTATTACTTTGAAATTCCTGTTTTCATTATCTGTTGGCAATTGTAGTCCCTTGTGATTAGAGTGACATCTAGAGATCATGGTAAGACCAAGATCCGCTTCTAGGTTTAGGACACCTAGACACTCGCAGCCTCCTCCTATCCCAGGGGCTGACGAATGGCACCAGCTCCAGATGCGAGTTGAGCGACTAGCAACTCGGATGACCCACATTGACGTCAACTGCATCACATACGCAGAATTTGGCAGCATTTATGCCCCATGCAGACCTTGATCCTCAATTTCCACCTGAACTGCCCATGTTTTGATGATTTCAGGGAAGTGCCGTTGCCCCTCTCCTTCCTTCTACTTTTACATTATCACATTGAGGGCAATGTGTGACTTAGGTGTTGGGGGGGGACAACTGTGGTACAGCTAGTATTTCTAATTTTTAGTTTTTACATGTTTTCCTTTATTTTTGTTATTTGTTCTATTTTTCGTTTATTTATTTTATTTTATTTTCTTTTATTAGTGGTCAGCTCTTATTTGAATACTAAGTTTTGATGTTGGACTGTTGTCTCTAATTCTGATATTGCCAAATTTTATTAATAAAAGCGCATCAAGTTGATGTGGTTGAGTTCAGGAACATCTCTTTGGTGAATATCAGTAATTGCTTGACTTTTCTAATTTTTGGTTAACTTTTCTAGGCATAGGGAATGATTGTTGGCATTTTTCATGTGAATTGGTCCAGTTATTAATTTTAGTTCTCCATGTTTGAAAATTTGAGGCTGGCTGCTGTTATTCTTGTGTTGCTTTCAGATATCTTGCTATATGGTTGCAAATAAGAGTTGACTGTACTCTGCTAGTGGTTACTACTGAGTAACCGGGGATCTTCATCTAAAGTGTCGATTTTCGCGTCAAAAGGTAGTGATTTCTATGAGTACGTGGTCATACAGCGATGGAGGTTGAGTAACCGGGCTCCTTCATCTGACAAATGTTGGAGTCCGCGTCAAAAGGCTCCGATGGCTAGAGACTAAGTCTTTTGTTATTCAAAAAAAAAAAGTAGAGTAAAGATTTTGTTCGTATTTGAAAAGTCAGCTTGCCGATTTGTGATCTTAATATCGAGATTTTGGTTAATAGTTGGACCATTTACTAATAAATGTGAGCAATCATTCCTTTTTCTTAGATTAGTTTGCTTTAAATTAGAGGAGTTGGTGGTTGGGAAGCTAATCGGAGTGGTCTTTCTTGGATCTTAACTGTGATGCTTGATATATGTTGTTTTGGGTATCTTGGCAATATGATAGTTAGAGCAATAGCCATTGTCAAATTTTGGTGTTCATTTGCTGTTCTTATGCTTGAGGGCAAGCATGATTTAGGTATGGGGGGAATTGATAGGGTGTTAATTGTTGGTTATTTTATTGTTAATTTTCCCCTTTATTCTTGTCAAATATTGTTTTAATTGTTAATATTTACTTATATTTGGTATTGAACTCAATTTCAGGGAATGGAGTAGAAAACTACAAAAATGAGGGACTTTTTGGAGATAATTGAGATTTCAAACAATCGGGTTCACATGGTGCTACAAAGAGATTGCATTTCCTTTGCTGATTAGGAGATTGGAGTCCTACAGGTAATAGGAAGCAAAACAAAGAAGGAAAGCCTCTGTTGGTGCAGGATGCTTTGGGAGGACTTTTGCTCTCAATTGTGCGGGGACCACGGAGAAAAGAAAGGATTAGTCTATTATTTAGGAAGAAACGTACAGAGGTTAGGAAGTCCTACTATTAATAGGAAACAAGAAGGAATTCGGAGGGTCCCATCTTTTGGATTCTTTTCTCTTCTTATTAGGTTAGAAGACTAGTCACGGGGGATATAGGGAATTAGAGGCTGAATAGCCGCAGGACTGAGTTTTTTACTTTCGACAGTATCATGTTGGGAACTTCCTCAACAATGAAGAACTGAATTCTTATTTTCTAGTCAAGAGGACAATTGACGATTTGATTCGACAATTACTGTGAGATCGAATCTGTTTTAATTATTTTCTTCATTTATTGGTATTTATATGTTCATTGATTTTAATTGCTATGGCCTTGTGTATGATTGATTAGTGCGCAATAATTAATTATTCATATAGGCTATTTTTGTTAAATAGGGGTAATTGAATCCGTAATTGTTCGTTATCTCTACCTCAGTAGCAACTGGCGTAATTGGGTTTATGTCAGGGGAGCATATGATCTAGTTTAAACAAACCCTCGTAGCGTGTTTGTTGGTTAGAGTTGGGCCTTTCTAATTATTAATGCAATTTAGGAATTAAATCCTACGGTCGTACCTAGGGTTATTTTTGGGTTAGAGAAATAACTAACGGTCGTACCTTAGCTATCGAGAAATTAAGGAAGGGTTGGTTGTTTATCGCGTGCATGACAACTATAACTAATCTATTACTAAATGTTGGAATTATTTCTGCATCAATGATCAGTGCATGAACTATTTCTGAAGTGTACCCTTGGCTAGAGCTTCTCTTAATTATTTCTTTGAATTAATTACTTCCTGCATTTAATTTGTTTAATTGGCACTTAATCTCAAAACCCCCTATACTTTGAATTCTAGAAGAAACGAATTATCCCTAGTCCCT